TAGGCATTTTTGGGTAATTAGGCAAGTTATTGTATAACGATGGTTTGTTCTGTAGACTATCAGAAAAAAAACATATAGATTAAAGAAGCTAATAATTTTGTCCTTAAAATGGCTTTTAAAAATGTAAACTGTTTTTATTCTAGCCAAAATAAAACAAATAAGACTTTCTCCAGAAAAATAAATATTATCAGACATACTGTGAAAATCTCCATGCTCTGTTAATTATCATTTGGGAAATATTTAAAAAAGAAAAAACTCAAAGAGGGGCGAATAATTCTGACTTCAACTATATATATATATAATTCTGAAATTTACATTAATTGTAAATAACACAACATAATAAATCCAATACTTTATAGAGCATAACTACACATCAGCAAGAGACTGACAGATACTGGCATCTGGTGGTGAACTGAAGGTACAGTCACTTGAATGTGTTTTACAGTGAGTAAATATTGAGATGTGTTCAATGTGGAGGATGATATTGTTATTTTAACATGAATGCTAGCTAACAAACATACACGAGTTAGGCACTTAAAACACCAACGATAGCCAAGCCAAGTCTTGTAATGGGACAGAAAAGGAAAGTTGCTCCGTTTATTGCAGCTGTAAACCTTTCCGAATTTATTTCTTATGTTGAACAGAAAAGAAGATATTCAGAAGAATGCTCGGGGAAAGCAGCCATTGACATCCAAAGTAGGAAGAAAAGTAAATTAAAACATTCTTCAAAACATCTTCCTTCGTGTTCAACAGAAGAAAAACAACTAACGGGTTTGACACAAGTGGATGATGATGATGAGTAGCTAATAATGGCAGAATTACATTTTTAGGGTGAACTATGACTTTGAGGCTAATGACAACTATACATTTTTTAGTTTTACTCTAAGAAATTGACAAAAAAAGCTGACATGATATAAAGCACGTATGAGCTTAAAATAACTCGGGCTATTATAATGCATCAGTAATGGGAAGGGGAAGGGGAGCACGTTTGCATTGGAAATTGCTGAAATCAGTTTTTCTTCTGAGGAAATGCATAATTTCGCAACCATGTTTGCTTCTGTTCATTATCGTGTCGAACAGCAACCGAACATTACAAACTTAATAAAGCAGCATCTTACCTTTTGGTGAAATACTGAATCCAAAATGTTGTATAGAAACTAAAATTTTGCCCTCCTAGGCGAAGGATTTGATTATGGCAAAGCATAAGAACTGTTTCTCCGAATATCCGAATTTTCTCGAAATTTCAACAGTGTAAAAACGTGTTATGAACAAGCTAGGAAGCATTTTTTTTTTTTTTTTAAGCTAGGAAGCATTAGCTATTAGCTCTGCTGTGCGCCTGACGTCAGCAGCCCGCGCGCAGGAATGGCGCGAAATTCTGAGGTGAAATTATTTGATTAATTAAATAATGTTTATACCAACATAAAATATGAGTCTATGGTTAAACTGAAAGAAAAGAACGACTTGGAAGACGTGGCTATTTAGCTTCCAGTGACACTTTCAACTATTTTTATCTGCGTCTTGCAGTCCAATGTTGAAAAATGGTATTTCTTTCCATGTTATTTTAGCATATTGTCTTAATTACACTGTTAGTAGCACAAAAACGGTTTACACTTTACTGTTCTTCTGGTTATTTTCCCACACTGAAAAAAACCTGCATAGAAAATGGACTATAAAGTAATCAAATTCATATTAAAAATGGCAAATTGGTAAGGTAGGACCAAGAGAAGGGTTTAATATAAAAAAATTTTATTATATGTGTCACTCTCAACAACTTTAGTAAGTTTATAGTATAAATATTCCACTTAGAAAAACTACTAGCTTCTTCAGTGGAGTTTGATATCACAATCTGTTTGTGAACATTTGATATTGTTGTTGATATTTTTTGTCTTTTATTTTAGTTTTAATTTGAATTTGCATTTTTATTGGCAAGGGACCACCAATGATCTTTGGGTTAATTTTGGTTCTTGGGGTATGTTGATTAATGTACACCAGTCATGTCCAGACTTGGTCTTTAGTTTAGTTCCAACCCCAATCAGACACACCTGGGCTAGCTAATCAAGCTCTTACTAGCCATTCTAGAAAAATCCTTGCAGGTGTGTTGAAGCAAGTTGGAGCTAATTCTGCAGGACGTCAGCCCTCCAGGACCGAGTTTGGACTCCCCTGATGTACATTGTCCCTTGTTGTGAAGTGAATGAACAAGTTAGGAAAAAAGTATTACCCCATTTATAACCTTAGCAAATATTGAAATTAAAATGCGTAAACTATTAAAATAACAACAGATATGGACCCAAAGCAAAATATAAGCAAACAAGAGTATGAAATAATGGCTGGGTTTAAATGAGTTTAATACGGAGAAGAGATTGACACGAGACATTGAAGTCAAAACTCTCAAAACATTTGACTAAGACGACAATCATCTGCATAAACTTTAATCTCTTTAAATATTTGCCCAAAGAATGACACAATCAATATCTAGTACTCCATAAAGACTCCACAAAGCCTACAGTAATCCTTCTGTCAAAATGAAAAGTCAGTTTAACAGTTGAACAGTAATACTCAAAGCTTCTTTCTACATATAGAAAGAAGCCTTGAAAGAAACTTATAATAAAGCACACTAATAAAGATTGAAGGCACTGTGACTAGTAGGTTATTAACCTTGTCTATTGCTCAAATTGACTACCCTTTCGTTATGTTAGGGGCTGTCTTTGTCCCATTGACCTCCATTATAATCACATTTTTGATTGCAAAGCCATGACAGCAAATAATCATGCGTGCTTGATTGGTGGTGGTTTCCCCTCTTGGGAAGACGTACAATTTGTAATTTTTTTACTGTTGACCATCAGTTGGCACTGTTAACCCCTAAGATAGGCTAGTGCAAAAAGTCTCTTGCTTGAATTCTGTGGAGTAAAACAGCATAATAAGTTGTTTGAACAAGCAGCAAACAAAATTGAGTGTAAATACATCTATTTTTTTCTTTAAAATAGTATTTTTTTTAATCATGAAAAGCTATTTCTACTGCCCATTTGTTAACTATCAGTGTCTGATATCAGAATCAAATGTGTATGCAGTGCTGAGTATTACACATTAAAAATAGCAAAGCCTAAAACTAAAATAAAATAATGAACTTAAATAAACTTCCTCTTTCAAATCTCTGTATCTTCGCAGATGTTTTAGATGCACTTAATGGTGTTCCTTAGCTTCCTGACTCAACAAAAGCAAAACTTCTGTTTTTAAAAAAAGTGCTAGAAGAAGCTGCTTGTGCTTTGCATATTTCAAAGTTTCATTTTTAATTAGAGAAAGACACCCTCAGCAAACACACCAAACGTATTTGGACATGATATCTCTGCTATTGCATTAGATAACAATACATAAGAGCACATGGAAAGAGACTTGTTTGAAAGTGCATACGGGTTGTTGACATGACATTGCATTTTTTCTTGTCACACATGACATAAATGAATATAATTAGCATTGGCATAATTTAAAATGCAGTAAATGGTTAAACATTTCTTTGTCTGCCATTGACCTCTTGGTATAAAAACTGCTGTTATTATATTTTTAAACCAAATCACAAAACTCCGACTTATCTCAAGCACAGTTTGATAAATTACAGCTCTCAGAAACTAAAAAAGAAAATCGTAAAAATCACAGGTTCGAGTCTCGTCTGGGTCAGCTGGTATTTCTCAGTGGAGTTTGCATGTTCTCCCTGTCTTCACGTGGGTTTCCTCCGGGTGCTCCGTTTTCCCCCACAAGTACAAAGACATGTGGTACAGGTGAAATGGGTTGGCTAATGTATGAGTGTGAATAAGAGTGTATGGTTGTTTTTCAGTGATGGGTTGCAGCTTGAAGGGCATCCGCTGTATAAAACATATGCTGGGTAAGTTGGCGGTTCATTCCGCTGTGGAGACCCTAGATAAATAAAGGGACTTAGCTGAAAAGAAAATGAATGAACGAATTGTAAACTCATAAATACTTCAGGCTTAATTTTTACAAGTGGCTATTTGAGTAAATAACAATCATATTTTTAATTTTATTAAAAACAAAGAAACTTGAAACATTTTGTCACCGAATACCATGCTACATGCTAATTATAAATCAGGCAACTACACTAAAAACCAAGCGACAGTATACTTGTGCTTTAAAGATACCCTTACCAACATTAGACACAATTTGCATTAGAGCCAATAGAAAGAGACTTGTTTCATTTGTTCATTTTCTTGTCGGCTTAGTCCCTTTATTAATCCGGGGTCGCCACAGCGGAATGAATCGCCAACTTATCCAGCAACTTTTTACACAGCGGATGCCATTCCAGCCGCAACCCATCTCTGGGAAACATCCACGCACACATTCCCACACACACTCATACACTACGGTCAATTAAGCCTACCCAATTCACCTGTACCGCATGTCTTTGGACTGTGGGGGAAACCAGAGCACCCAGAGGAAACCCAAGCGAACGCAGGGAGAACATGCAAACTCCACACAGAAACGCCAACTGAGCCGAGGCGCGACCCAGCGACCGTCTTGCTGTGAGGCGACAGCACTACCTACTGCGCCACTGCTTCGCCAAAGACTTGCTTGAAATTGCATAAATTAGCCAAACAGGTTATAGGCTACTCTGAAAATCATTAAAAAATACATCAGGTCTAATTTTAGCGGTGGTTATTTTGGTAAACACCAATCATATTTTTTAATCCATATGTTTCTAAAAACACAGATGCTTAATACATTTATTGACTGAAAACCATGTCCTCAGGTGTATACACTCATTTAAAATTGGGTGATTACACTGAAAACTTTAGGCTATACACTACCTGATGAAACTCTTGTTATGGATCTCAGATATGAGAGCAACAAATAATAACTTGACTTCTAGTTGATTGTTTGGAAAAGTGTAAGAAGGTGGATTTTTCAGATCTGCATCCCAATCGTCACAAATACTGCAGAAGACATACTGGAACCAGCAAGATTCTCACAGAAATCAGTCAAGTTTGGTGAAGGAAACATCATGGTTTGGGGTTACATTCAGTATGGGGGCATGCGAGAGATCTGCAACATCAGCAGCCTGAGGTATCAAGACATCTGTACTGTCCATTACATTACAAACCACAGGAGAGAGAATGGAAAGAGACCTGTTTGAAAGTGCATATAGACAAACAGCTAAAACTGAAGTTCATATCTTCACAACACTGAGTGCACTTGTTGTGATTGTGTGGATCTCGATATTTGCGTTCCCTCTTCAGAGAAAGCCCGTTCAAACACACGCCGTAGAGAAAGCTGAACCTTATTCTTAAAATCCTGCCCCATGAACACATACAGGACGGGGTTCAGGCAGCTGTTCACGTACGCCAAAGAGATGGCCAACGGATCCACTTTCAAAGCCACCATTGAACTGGATTCCCCTCCATAGCTTCGTATCAAATCCAACACATGATACGGCATCCAGCACAGGAAAAAAGCCACGATAACAGCCAGCATGATGCGAAACGCTCGGCCACTGCGGAAATGACGACTGCCTAATTTGCGAGCGATAATTCCATAGCATGTCACGATGGACATTAGAGGAATTAAAAAGCCAAACACAAACCTGACGATGCTCAAAGCTCCGTATGTCGTGAAGTCGTCGTCATCGAAAGTGCAAACTGTCATGTTAAACTCTTCATAAGTTCGTCTTAATATCATGAAGGGCAAGCTGAGCAGCAAAGCCAAAATCCATACCGCAACGCAAGACAGCCGCGCTAGCAATAAACTTCGATGATTCTGAGCCCAAACCGGAGTGATAACCTGTGTGAAGCGATCCAGGCTGATTATGTTTAAGGTGAAAACGCTGGCGAACATGCTTATGACTATTACTGAGGGGAGAATTTTGCACATGGCGTATCCGTACGGCCAATGGTGGTCTAGGAGGATTTCGGCTACAGTTAGCGGTACGGAAAGACAGCACAGGAGGTCGGCAGTCGCTAGATTGAGAAACCAGATTGTATTAACGGTCCTCTTCATCTTCATTCCTGCGATGAATATGACGAACGAGTTTCCGGGGACTCCGAGGAGAAACGTCAGGCAGTAGACGACCAGAGAAATCACCCTCACTTCTGAAGATGCAAAGGTATTCGTCTCATTTGCATCAAAACCCCACATTTCTTCATACGCATCTGTGAAGTTCTCATAATTTTCATCCATGGCAGAGACTCGAAATATGTAGTTTGTTTTGCTGATGCTGTGGATTGACATAAGCAGACATTCAGTCATTTACAACCCCAAATCAGAAAAAGTTGGACAATTTGAAAAACGCAAATGAAAAAATATTTAACAAAAACAAAGTAGTGATGTCTGAGTTTAATTTGACGTGTATTTTATTTGTTACGAGTAGTTGTTGTGGTGTAGTGTATGTGGTTTCTCTCTCTCATTCCGAATTATAGCGGGTGCAGCGGATGAGTTGAGCCGTACGAAAATGTCCAATTTTTAAAAAGGAGGCGTGGCACCCAACCCCGCCCCTAAACGCAACCGTCATTGGGTGATGAGCAAATCGTACTAAATTGTATGAGTTAGATCGTACGAATTCATATGAATTAGCCACTAAATCAAAAAGCTATGAATTGCTGTGAGATTGTGTTGTAATTTTCCAGTGGAAAAAAGTAACAAGTAACATTTAAAAAAAAAAATCTTTTAAAATAATAAGTAATAATATTTGTGATACTTTTTAGATTAATGAATTAGCTTTTAAATAATAAATCGCTGAATTAAAATGAGTGTAGTCACGTTGAATTTTCTGTGATGGAAGTATTCTCATTATTTTGAATGCATTAAAGAAAATGTAAAGGAAGGTTCAGGTTACAGTGCGCTAAGATTAATCAAATGATGAGATCAAGTCCCAGTCAGGTAAGAAAAAGTAAAGCAGAAGTAACTAGAGTAACTTTTTTTGGGGTGGGGGGGTGGGGGGGGGGGGGGGGGGGTAATGCATTACTTTACACTGTAACATTCCCCAACACTGCGGGTAAGGTTTGAAACCAGTAAGATCAGCATCTAAGCATACCTTACCAGCACAAGCTGTTTTTCTTTCAGCAGGGTTAACTAAACTCATAATGAAAACTATAGGAAGCTTTACTAATCTTAGTTAAATCTTTCTTAGTTAATGCCTAATACATTAAAATGCCTAATACATTAATAGACAATCACTTTATTAAATGTATGCATAACTACATTTAAATGATAAAAATAACTAATAAAATTCAGTTTTATTTTAACTAATATTAACATTATAATAACATATGGGGTTAATATTAATAATATAAACATAGGAACTATAATAAATCTGGCATTTGTTGTTGATTTTAATGCATTAACTACCATTTACAATCGAGACTTGAAACTTGTAGTACTTTATAATCGTTTTGCAATAGTTGAAACTTTCATTTACTCTGAACATGTACAGCTGAAGTCGGAATTATTCACCCACTTTGAGTTTTTTTGTTTTTTACATATTTCTCAAATGTTTAACAGAGCAGGGAAATGTTCACAGTATGTCTGATAATATTTTTTCTTCTGGAGAAAGTCTTATTTGTTTTGTTTTGGCTATTTTTCAGTTTTTTAAAAAACATTTTTTAAGGTCAAAATTATTAGCCCCTTTAAGCTAAAACATAACAAACCATCAATGACTTGCCTAATTACCCTAACCAGCCTAGTTACCCTAATTAACCTAGTTAAGCCTTTAAATGTCACTTTAAGCTGTATAAAAGTGTCATGAAAAATATCTAGTCAAATATTATTTACTGTCATCATGACAAAGATAAAATAAATCAGTTATTAGAGATGAGTTATTAAAACTATTATGCTTATCTTCCCTCCATTAAACAGAAATTGGGGCAAAAAATAAACAGGGGGTGAATAATTCTGACTTCAACTGTATACATATATATTTCCTTTAAAGTTTCCTCAAACAATAGAACAAATAAGAATAAAACATTCACAGGAGGGCTAATAATTTTGAAACCATTTCAATATATCCCTTTAGCAGACTCTATGCGAAAGTTAAAATAGTAATAATAACAAGTACTTACTGTCAAGTGCAGTCACTTTCACACACTCACTGAACTGAGTTCGCTTCACAGCTCTTGTTCTTTCCTCGGCAGCTGATGAGTGTTTGACAGACTCTTACCACACAAACCACTTTAGGCAGAACCACAGGAAATGGCAGGAAGTCCTTCCGATTTGATGAAAAGAACTACAAAAGAGCTAGGGTCATTATATTGCCACTGGCTTGCTTGGTTTGGGACTTGTGATGGATTTGCTCTTCAGTGTTTTGTACTTTCAGCAGTGAAAATTAAACCACACTGAACTGAACTGAAGTGAACTTCAACTCTGAACACTGGACTGACACAGTTTCAATTTACAAGAACTTCTATGTTAAGCTGCTTTGACACAATCTACATTGTAAAAGCGCTATAGAAATAAAGATGAACTGCATTGAAGATTTGGTACACTCAGAAATAAAGGTGTAAAATCAGTCACTTTATTGGTTCCTAACAAGTACATGCTAATACCTAAAAATATAGCACTTTTAAAGGTACAAGCCTTACAGTGAAGCTCTTTTTTTTCTGAGAGAGCCTTTTATTTCTATCTATGAAGCCTGTCGCAGGCTGTTCACACTTGAGAAAACGTTTGATGATGATCATGCGCTTTGTTGAATTCCTCTTTTAAAGAGCGGTAAAACACAACCACAACAGGAAAAGATAGAAAGAAGTTAAGTTAGTGGATATACGCTTGTTTATCTGTGAGATTTCAGTTCACCCAAAATTGACGATCCTGTCATGTACATAACGAACACGTTTTGGGTTTCTCTCTTCTGTCCAACACACAGGAAGACATTTTGAGGAGAGCTGGAGACCTGTGACCATTCACTTCCCCAGTGTTTGTTTTTCCTGCTATGGAAGTCGATGCTCACAGGTATTTAACTTTGTGTAAAGTTTGTGTTTAACAGAAAAAGAAAACTCATAATGGTTTGGAATTTCTTGAGGAAGAGTACACTTTTTATTTTTAAGTGAACTAACCCTTTAACTTGCACTTAAGTTGATGAACATTTTGAAATATTTAGAATTTCAGCGCGTCGACAGGCATTAGCAGAGCAAAGATGGGTGATGTTCTGCCACAAGAAGACGACAGAGATTGCACAAGTGCTTAGGGGAAGAAAAACTGCATCAAGTTTTAACTACAGCTGATCACATAACTTTAAAACAGGTAAATGACATTCTGAGATTATCTCTCTCTTTTGTATGTTGTAGTGCTGTCTTTATATCACAATAATCTGGTAGTGTTTGCTTTGATTTGACTTTTTTTAGGGTTAATTATTCTGATCTCCTGATTGCAACAGAGAAATACTGGATCTCTGTAGACTGGTGGCACTTCACGCTGTTCAGCCTTAGCAAAATCCTAATAAAATCCTGAGCAAAATCACCTAATAGCCAATATATATATATATATATATATATATATATATATATATATATATATATATAATGGCTTAGTAATTAATTAGTATTTTTTTTTATCGATTGACAGCACTAATATATATATATAGAGAGAGAGAGAGAGAGAGAGAGAGAGAGAGAGAGAGAGAGAGAGAGAGAGAGAGAGAGAGAGAGAGAGAGAGAGAGAGAGAGAGAGAGAGAGAGAGAGAGAGAGAGAGAGAGAGAGAGAGAATACACATGACTTATAATAATACAAATTCAGAAATAAAGGTACAAAATCAGTCACCGGGGTGGTAGCTTTTCAAAAATGGAGACTTTTGTACTGTATAAGTGGACATCAGGGTACACTTTCATACCTATGAGGTACTATGAGATACACATTTGTACCTTTGAGGTATTAATGTGTACCTTCAAGGACCTTTTAGGAACAATAATCCACCTTTTGGCCAGATACAACCCCCAGTGACAGATTTTGTACCTTTATTTCTGAGTGTATGGTACCATGTGCAAATGCTAAAGCAGTCCTCTGTGTATACTTCATAATATTTAGCATTATAGCATTTGGACAAATATTTTTTTGTCATTTTACACGATCACCAAACTGTAATGCATCCATATACAACTTAAAAGCATTTCCCCTATTTTAAATGACACACTATATAGAATATATCAGATGTAACTTGCATTACCAGACTTCAGCTATCGCGCTGTCCAAGGAGTAAAAGATTTTTGAAAAATTAAAAAAGGAAAGGCTGGTACACACATATAATATTACCTATATAAATACCACACACTCGGAAATAAAGGTACAAAGTCAATCACTGGGGTGACTTTTCAAAAATACACATCTTTACTTTTCCTGTATTAATTTGTACCTTTTAGGACTGGTTAGAAACAAAAATGTACCATTTGAAAACAGTGACAGATTTTATACCTTAATTTCTGAGAGTGTATGGTGCCATGTCTAAAAACTGAACAGTTGTCTGCTTACACTTATAATATCGAGCATCGTATACAGACAAGATCACTTACATTAAAAAGCAAAGTTTGATCGGGGGATAAATTGGTATCAACATGGCCAGTTGTATTTGGGCTACACAACACACCAAATGAACAGCAGTTTCTAAATTTGTAAAATATCAAGATAAGGATTAAACTACTATATTTGGCAAGATCAACATTGTCAACAAGTGGAGTCATAATTACCGTCACCATGACTGTTGGCAAGTACCACATTCCTGAGAGCTGACGGCATGCGAATCCGAAAGGAATCTGGATATTTATTTGCTGTGCCAAATCAGTGACTCCTGGGTCATTTCATATAAACATTTTCTTTTATTATACATTTTTCTGCAGATAAAAGGAGAGAGTTCAAAGATTGTGACACCACATGTGGGACTATTTTTTTTTTTTTGTTTGTTTGCTGGATGCAGAGGAACTTTTTAAATAAGCTTGTGGATGTAATCCTCACTTAAACGATCTCTTAAAGGGATAGTTCACCTAAAAGTTCTGTCTCATGTCTACTCTTTACTTGTTTTAAACCTTCAGGAGTTTATTTTTTCTGTTGAAGACAAAAGAATATATTTTAAAAATGCTGTAACCACTGACTTCCATACAAGGTTATAATAGTTTTGGATTTTTCATTAGTTTCAGTTTTTATTTCGTTTTGACTTTGTTTTCAAATTTAGTTAGTTTTAATTAGTTTTTAGAGGCAGATTAACACATTTGTAATAGTTTCTATATTTTGAAATTGCTTAGATTTAGTTTAGTTTTTATTAGTTTCAGTATAAATTGTTTTGTTTTTTTTTGTTCGGTGCAAGATTCAAAATCATCAGAATAATATTGTATAATAAAAAAAAAAATCAACCAAAGATTGGCTAGATTTTTAACACACGAACACTACCATCTAACAGTCCAATCTTCTCAAGTTTGGACTCAACCAACTCAATCTCATGCCAATTCCTAACTTTTTAATTTAGTGGCTAATTCGTAT